GCAATGATAGCAATAGTTATATTTTTTTAATATAATGAAATCAAGTTTTATAGTAGGACGGATCTATCAAACGTCAGGTTTAACGATGACAGTATTACATTTCTCATGCTCAACTGTGATTAACAAAAAACTATCGCTTTTTATTTAACAAACGAGCTGAAGATGGAAGGTGAATAAGAATGCTCTAGCCATATAACATTTCAAAAAGACGCGCTGTTGAATCTTTTTTGGATGTCCGGACATCCAAAGACATTTTACTGTGGTTCACGACCCGCAAGGTAGGTATTTAAATATCGCTGGCGCCCATTTAATAACAATATATCCAGATAACATAACTACTAACTTTTTTAAAATCATTAATAGGAAACATGTTTTAATTATTTTCACGCACTTTGTTTATTAGCCATACATTGCGCGAGAGGTTGAAAAAATTCGACAATGGAACACGGTAGCTCAATTGGTTAAAGCAACAGCACAGAACGCTGACGATGCCGGTTCAAGTTCTGCCCGAGTCGTAAATTTTTTAATTAATAATTTATTTTTAGTCTAAATAGATTTTCTAGACACAGATGAATTTGAAACTTGCGATTATACGATTTTTGAAATACATTGGCTACCATTAGACCTACTAATAATGATTCATACAACTGGCAATTTCAATGTCTTGAATAGTCGCAAGCGCATCGAAATCCAACTGTTTCGAACCGGTGCCGAAACAAGCCGGATAATTACGGGGATCACATTTACGAATGTAAATGCGTCGAGTGCCCTGCCATTAATCATGTTGCGGTCATCTGCCGCCCGCGGCGCTGCGGACGCGGCACCTACGACCAGTGCTGCCTGACCTATCTGCTTGTAAACGTATGGATTTTCATATGGCTAATAAAAATTTACTTAAGTAAAATTTTACCACAGGACTCAGCTAGATTATATAACATAGATTTGCGCCTAGGAAAAGACCTAGTTACATTTTTTCACTTAGACTATTATTAAACCTAACTAAAATAACTATTGTAATTACTTAGTTTCTAATTTTCATCAAACTACAAATGTGATGTAAAAGTGGGTAATATTGAACAATATTAATATTCAGTTAATTTTAAATAACCACAAGTAATGTACTATATAATATGCACTATTTTAAAATATTACTCTAATGAAACATTTTCAGTTGTATGGTTTAAGTTACCACTTCAATATGAATCTTAAATAAATGTTGATAATGTGTTAACTAAAAATGTTATAAGAGACAGTCTCAATTACATAGATATAACTAATACAATATTAGTACTTTTAACGGATTCGTAAATTGATTTAAAAAAGTTGCCATCTCTACAATTCCAACCACCGTCGTCGTTGGAAGTCCAACATAAAATGGTTGACGTTTTAAATGTGTATCAGCGCATAAGCGTTCTTTTTTCGAATCGCAGCGGCATGACAGATGTATGTAGTGTTGCCATGTGCATTTGATAGGGATTTATTTAATAGGAGGATTAAACGTTGATGATGTGCGCGATAGATACATAATTTTAATGTAGGCCAGGTGCAAATTTAGTTAGCTTTAGTGAATCGGGTTTTTTTCAATTAGAGATATTTGTAGCTTGGAACTAATTTCACTTATAATAAAAGACTTGAACGGTTTAAAACGCGATATATTTGAAGTATTTTAACTACGTCGTAGTCGTGGAGAGAGTCTACCCTTCATATATCGCGTTTTAAACCTTTAATTAATTTATTTTAATGTGTACTAATCGCGTAAAATACAGACAGTAGCTGATATTGCCTGCTTGTTATTTGACCTTTTAAAAGTTATTCTCAACTAAAATTACATTGTGTGAATCTACTAATAAACAAACCCACAGTCTCGTCCAAGCGAGCGAAACTTAATTAATTTCTAATCGTAAGCGCAACCCATCAACACAAACAACACGACCATACACAGACGATCAATAATTTACTCGCGCCATAAAAGGAGGATCGATAAGACAACCAATTTCATCCCATATTGTTTGACAACATTCGATTATGTGCGACACAATAAAAATATGGCGTCTAACAAAAGAAATCTCTTCAAGTCTTTGTCGTGCTTTTTTACAAAATATACAGAGATGTACTTTTAAATTTGTAAACATTAAAATATATATATATTACAGGTTATTAATTTAAATAAATTACGGATACTATGCAGCGGCCGCAATGTTATTTTTATTTATTAATTTAACTAATGTATATCGAGTTTTAAACTTTCAAAGTGTTTTATTAAAATGTGTAGTCACTACGCGCATAAACTATAGACATTAAGGGGTATGTTCATAAAATTCATACCCATTAATGTTACAAAAAAAAATAAGAGTGTGTATTTTAATAAACTGATTTTCGACGTAAAAAATACGAACATGCAAAAGAAAGCCTTAACGGAACATCGATGTAAACCTTTTTGTGAGGATTTATAATAACATCGTTTTCCCGCGATCCCATCGAACGAGGCGTGACATTTCAAAAGCAGTGTTGCCAGCACAAAAAAGTGAAATAATACAGGGGAGTATTTGTTCGATATTGATGCGTCTAACGGGGCTTTTGAGGGGATGTTATAGATTAATGATGTACGAAAGGATTGTATTAAATAACGCTTTTCATAACGTTTCCGTTCTTTTGTGGCAGCGCTGTGTCAAATTAATGTTTAACCTCCTTTGTCGCGCTTGGTTTTATATAAAAACTATATATTCAATGCATTTAACAAAGTGTGTCAAAGTTCTTTAGGAAATAAGCCTTAGTTAAGTTTCAGAAAGATTTATAAAACAATTCAACTGAAACTTGAAACTTACCTATTATTCAGATATCAACGATGGTATATATCTTCTTAAAGACATCTTTGTAAAATCTGCGAAATTTTTTTTTCTGAGTTCTAATCTCATCCTTCATTAATGTGTCACCTACTTTATAAAAACGGAATATAGTACAAATAATTCCTATTAGAAAAAGCTAATTTCACTCACTGTATAAAACACGTAAATTTAGCATAGTTTTTAGCATTTAACATATGACCCTTAAAAAGAAAGACAAACATTAGTAGAAACAGTTTACAAGCTTCACTGATTAAATAAAACACTATAACGGTTTAAAACGTGATATATATTAATTAACTTATTGGAAATAACATATTTAGTTTAACTAGCGTTTTAAATTGCTAAAGTGTTATATTTCAATGTGTACTACTAGTAAACTACAGACAGTATTTAAGCCTCACTGTATCAAAGTCGGATAAACAGGAACCCTCCACAGTGGATACTTGGACCCTTCAGGTGCGTTCGCATCTGTCGATATTAATAACCCATTGTTACATATCGATTTATTACCATACATCACTACGGAGAACAACCAGATGCGCTTTCTTTCAAAGTCATGTGATTAAATAGTAGAACGGACACACCGTAATACAGTTTTAAAAGATAATAACGAAAGTTAATATAAACTCAACAAAATTACTCGATTATTACAAAAAATACGATACGGGCAGGACTCGAGCCGTGATCCACAGCGTTCGGTGCTCTAACTGATCGAGATATCGTGTCCTACACGTCATCGTCCAATTTTTTCAATTGAAACATGCACCTCTCGCGCAAACTGTAACGATCATATTTAAAAATCAGGTTTCAAATTTAAATGATATAAACTAATACTATGTTGCATGTAACATACATATTAGTTATCTCACCCAATTAGTTTTACTATTTTTGTGATAATACAAATCTTTTTTACTTAAATAAATACATGATCTATTTATAATTAAGTAACTAAATATCCTATGAAAGGTTATTTACTATTCATTACTAAATAAGTCTCAGTTCTCTAGCTTTTGCGAGCGCCTCTACGATGAAATCTTTACTTTTCATAAGTCTAACACTTTCCTAGTTTCCTTTAAAGCAAGTATCTACGTAGATAGGTATCTAGATGTAATCTCTTTTGCTTAGATAGACTGGTTACCTAAGTAGGTAATTTCCTCCATAAAGTAATTGTTCTTTAAGCAAATAAAATTAAGTCTAATATTTCATTAAGCGTGCAAAGGACAAAGGTAACGGTACTTTGAAAACTGCCAGGGACGAACATTTTATTTCTCAATCTAATTCTCTAGGTCATTAGGCTTAATTGTGTTAAAGGTGAAAAAACGAAAAGAACGTCAATACAAGACCAACGTCATTGCATTTTTAACAATAGGCCGTGTAATAATAAATAAATGAAAGCCTAATTTCCCCTGTGGGGCATAGGGCGAACATATTTCTGTACCTGTTTCTCTGATCGGTTTTATTTACAGGCAAGTTGATCAGACTTCTGTGCCCTGCCCGTCTGAAATAGTCCATTGTTTCCCCGTGATTCGAATCCATGACCTCTCGTGCTTAAAGCGATGTTACACGTTTAACCTTTTAGCTACAGATGATGCAGGTATGCATGTATGGCCTAGTCTAATTGTCACGTATGCCGCTAGAGGGGAGGTCACTGCGGGGGTGGGTAACGCCGGGGTGTCGGAGGGGGGAGGGGGATTGCGCTATTGATCGCGTGACCCGCCGCGCCCGTCACGCTGTCTTTGTGCTGAGAGGAATCATTAGGATTTTAGCTTTTTTTCTTCCACTGTACACGGATAAAAGATAATTTTAAATTAGCTAGTGGTAAAAATAGAATTTTAAAATCGTCAAAGTAACGCATTTAGATTTCTCTGATGTGAATTTTTGCACAGTGGTTATTTTATTGCATTTATTTATTTATTTTTTATTTTAGTTTTAAGTAGGATTTGAACGCCTGGTCTTATAACTATAAAACAGATTGGTTAGAGGGAAGGTAGTTAGATATTTACCTAGGTACATAACAGATCAAAGTATTCCATTTTTAAAACTAATAAAAGATATACACACAAGTATTTCGTATTCACCAACGGAAAAGTAATGTTCATACATCATACTTATAATTGAACATACACCAATAAAACTGTTTAAAAATAGAACCACATGTCACATGTCACCAGCCCCACCCCCCATGTGACAGAATGGACCAATCAGAGATGTCTCCACGCCGCCCGCGACAGTCTCGACCAATCGCACGCGTCGCCTACATCCAATGACACTTGGGTGACATTCGTGGAAAGTTCAACACCCCGGCGCCTGGTTGGTTGGACTGTTTGGATTCTTTATTTAAATAGGGTTACGAATAGGTTTTTACGACGATACGAAACCGTTACCAGTTAGTCTAGTGTTTTGGGTTTTTTAGACAAACCTCGGCCACGTTGGTATAATGGTAGCAATGTATGGCATAATCTACGGGTCGTGGGTTCGATTGTCACCGGGTCCTAATCAATTTTGTATTTTTCATGAAACGTGTTAGATTTCGTTTGGAGATTTGGATATTAAATAAGTGGTTAGAATAACGAAATTCAATCCGCTTCGGGAACCACCGTTCGCGGATGTATAGGACCAATTTTAATGTCATGAACTTAAAGACAAAATTCGGCGAAAAAGGTCTTTACAACTTATAAAGGTTTATATTGAGTTTTGTTTAATTAAAACTTTGATTCACATGTCGTTTATTGAGCCATCCTCTAATTCCTTCGCTCCCAAGAGATACCGCTTAAAGACTTAATTGGGGATGCTGTAAATGTAACCAGTTTTTGTCCGAGACGTGTCTCCAACTATAGTGAACTGTATTAGGGATTTGTACTTAACTTAAGGGCAAGTTAGGTAACGTTTCGTTTTATAGGACTTTGGGCAAACTTACTGCCATTGTCTTGTAAATAGCTCCTTATAGTCAATATCTACTATCCAATCTATCTAGTTATATAATCTAATCTATCTATCTAATACTACTATTGTCGTTGTCTATAGTTTACGCTAGTACACATTTAAACACTTTCTTAAAACGCGAAATACATCTCGCAATAGTCTCGTTTAGTTAGTTTTACAAGTTAGAATTATTTATAAATGCGTTTAACTCATATATTTCGCATATTTATTATACTAATCAGACCATCTTCATAACTAAATGGGCAAACGTGTTGTCTAACATTGCGTTAAGCGTGGTCCTGGGTTCGAATTCTATGCCCCACGGCGAAAATGTATTTCACTTTTAATAATATATTTATTTTAACGGTTCAAAACTAAAATTTTAAAACAAAACCTGTCTTAATAAAACCTAAATAAAGTAGACAACAGTTTATTTTTATTTTCCATCTGTATCTTACTGTTATCTCTCTTTTTTTTGCAGGTAGGAGATCCACCCTTTTGTGAAGACTATAAAGTTAAGATTTTCTGGCCTTTGATACCAGGATAACATAAGTTAGCAGGAACTAATAAAGGACTCATATAAAGTTTAATCAGTTACTGGCAAATGTTTTAAACTACGCTTTTATAAGCTACGGACACATAAATTCTAATAAGTTCTGGTGACTTATATCACTTCTAATAAGTAAAGCTTTGTCTAATAAGACATTAAATATAAAGTTGCACTATATTTAACTAAAAAATTATACAGTAAAGCAAGAAAATAAGCACGAAGCTTCGAAAATCAAAATAATAAGAGTGAAAAGAAAGAACACTGTCTCATGCCTTATTACTAGAGAGATACTAGTGTTGCCAATTTCTAAAATTTGTTAAAACATAGATAAATTGAGGCCGCTAGAGACAGAATGGCCTAATAACAAAAACATGATTTTCAATAACAAGGAAAATAAAAATGCACAATTATTTGTGTAAGAATTATGATAACAATTTTCGTTCACTGTGCTCTTGTAGATTAACATTTTTAAACTATAAAATATAAATACTTCAAGTCACAAAATTACAGTTAGGCTACTCTGACTCTAGCGGCCTCAGTTATCCTTCACATATAAACAATGTCATTACGTCGAAACGAACATCGTTTTTGATTTGTCCTTCGTTAAATAGTTTAGGATCGATCAACGCCATCTGCTGCCAAATTGCGTTAACATGAGTCAGCAGTTAGCAAGCTGTTGGGATACTATATCACCCTCATTCTTCTATTATAGCGGTAACGATAAGTTTTAAAGGAAACATTTTTAACTGTTTAAAACGCGCAATTTATTAGTTTGTTATTTATTGACGTGGTTGCGGGGATGATGTCTTTAATATATTTCGTTTAATATATAAAAGACATCAAGTTAAAAGCGTTTATTGGCCGTGTGGGTACTGTCTGCATGAACATGTAATGCTTAACTATAAGTTTTTAAAAGTTTTTATTATTTTATATGTACTTAGTAAATTAATTTGTAATTCTTTTATATTGTGTTTGTTCAATGTCTTGTGGGAACCTTAATTTATATAATTATCCATATTCAAAATTAGCTGCTAGGTATTACTTATTATTTGACTTCGATTGAGTCTCAAAATTAGGTGATCACTTCGCCCAACACCCTTTGTTCCAAAAATATGTGTATACTGGTAGTATACACATATTTTCCTTACCGTTCCGTTCGTTTTTTAATAACCTCAAGATTTTAACAGAAAAATGACACATCACCGAAAACGATTTAAAATGTAATTTCATGCGACATTAAAAACACTTCGCGACAGACGTGTGAAGTCCTTTGTTCAGTTTTTGCTTCAGGTAAACTGATCAGCAGAAAATTCGTTGACATTTGGACAGGAATTGTCAGCCCTAAGTTGAGACGGTTAGGGTTGTCCGAATACTTTGCAGTGTCATCTTGCTTGAGGAGCTTTTTTGCTACATGTCATCACGCGTGTTATTTAAGAGGGCAAAGCTGTTGAAATATGTCGTTTTTATGGGACAAGAATTTTCGTAGAACTTTTTTATATAGACAATCAAAAGACTATTTTTGTAACCATATTTTTCTGCCTTGTGACAAAAGCTTCTTAAAGTAAAAAGGACTTGACAAACATGTATATTTTCAATTTGTGTTTAGCCATAAGATATGTAATATATTGTATGTATCGTGTGTTTTATAGTGACTAAAACTGTCAAACACATTTGTGCTTCTTAAAACAACCGTTTAACTAAATGGGCGCGTTGATAGCAATGTATGGTTATTTATATATAAGCAACGGCTCGTGGATTTAATTTCAACTAGCTCAAACAATTTATAATGTATCTGAAACGCCGTCTGGAAATCTGGATATTAATTGGGTAGGTTTTAGTGAGGATTATTGAAATTCGGCCCCAGTCACTAATCACCCTCCACTCCATTACTCCATACATCCATTACTAAGTAAAATTAAACAAACTATTGTATTTTAATCGTTAAATATTTTCATCCACTATACGATATTTGATGAGTCCAGTGAAATTTCAGGCCGTAGTTAATATAATTTTCATATAAGTAAGTTTAAGTAATATATATCGCGTTTTAAACCGTTAAAGTGTTTTATTTAAAAGAGTGCTCTGAGTTAGCTCAAAGGAAGAAATAAACTTCAATCTTCGGCAACCCTACCCCCACTAATCAAAGGGATAATTACGTGAAGGCGACAAAGACTGACAAAAAACGATTTTTGTTGCATCACGTTTGGTGATGAGACGGACCTTTTGTCGGCGGATTGACAACGCTCTCGGGGTATATGCGGATAATTAATGTTTCAAGGATGCGGTCGTGTGTTCGATTTCTATGCATTTTTCCTTAGTCAGAGTTATTAAGTATGATATGGGTGTTATAAAAATTTAACTCGCCAAATAAGGAGACTTAAGGACCTGTTTAAGACTACTCTACTACACGTTAAGATAAAACTAATTCAATTTAAACAACTATGTGTACATTAGTAAAATTATATTAATTTTAAGTATTTTTTAATTAGTAGACATTTTAACGTAGTAACTGAAGACTTTTGTGTGGTTCAGGAATAACTTGACATTTATTTATTTAAGAAGACAGAAAAGCAAACAGAAATATCACAGTAATATGTTATTATAATGGATAATATATAATATAGATAATATATAAAGGATAAAATTGTGGTTAAAGAATTACTTTCAAAATTTGATTATTTAAAAGTTTAAACTAAATTGACAAAAATTTCGACTCGGGCAGGACTTGAACCGGGATCGTCAGCAGCTCTAACCAATTGAGCTACCGAGTCTCGTACCTAGTCGTCTGTTTTTTTTCAACTTATTGATAAATTAATACGCAAGTGCTCAGGTTGAAATTACACTGCGCGAGAGGTGCTTTTTGAGATTATTATAGGTCTAACAAAAGCCCGATTTCTTAACTACGGTAGCGATTACTTGTATATACAATACGACCTTGAGTTAGCAAGTTCGACGACCTTACCGCGAATAATCCGTTCGTACCGAATCATTAACCCCCTATCTGTGCCCAAATTAACCGACTCACACGACGGACGCTAATGTCAACTTGTCAATGTCACTTGTCACGGTAAAAGCTTGCTTTCACCCGGTGTTGGGTGACTGGACATTCTGTTTTTCTCTTTTTTGTTTTTTTAATTCGCGCCGAACGATTGTATATTTCTGTATACATAGTATCGTTTATTCTAGGACAAAGAATTCTTACATTGTTTAAATTTATGGATAATATTTAGAAATATCAATAAAAATTAATTATAGTTGTCAGTTACGTTAATTGTTATTTTTAGTTACTTAGTTCTCACGAGTCGGATAATATATCAAAATTCCTAATGTTCAAAGCCAAAATAGGCTAGAGAATTTAACGTCCCATTATGTGAACCACATGTTTGCGCCCACTAACATAAAGAAATCAAGATTGAAAATGGAAATTTTTCCAAAATTTATGAATGTTTGCATTAAGGTGAAATAACGAAACAATAGCTTTAGACAATGGCTGCGTTCATTTATTTTCTTCAATACGATCAAGAAATTTAACTTCATTAACAACTTATTAAGTCTCAATGTAATACAATTCTTGAAAGGTGTAAACTGTCACAGATAATTTAACCTAATTTAGTAGTGACGGATATGAGTGTCGTGTAGTCACTCGCGTGTTAAAATTTTAAAAGCTTTCACGCGTTAAAAGTTGTCGGTATTTCATAATATAAAGATTTAACAGTATGGTCCAACAATAATGGGCGTGATTATTTGATGGAGCTGTAAGAGTTATACTTATATAAATTATAGTTATAAAAAATATATTTTAAACGAATTTGGTAACTACTATATGTAAGTCAGAAATTCTCGGATTTTACCAAGCGCATTTAGAATAGTATTTTTATTAAAAGTAAGTTAAATCAAATAATATACAAGAAATTATACAGCCATCCAATTTTAGGATGGGCATAAATCATAATTAATAGAAATAATTAATTTCAGGAGAACTATGCGTCGTCAATCCATCACGCAACACCAGGATATAATGGCACCGTCAGACAAAAACGAATTAAATTAAAGAATAAAAGTCACAAAAGCTGCGCCGGCGCCCGTGTCCCGCTGGCAAACTATTGGACGTGTATTATATACGGTATGTTTAATTTAAAGAGTAAATTCTAAGAGCTAGTGGCGTTTGTGTAAGCGACTTTTGTTAATATATTTATAATCCTATAAGTTCCTATAGTAATATAATCTGTATTATTATTAAAAACTTTGCTTAGTTTAGTTCTTCTTAGGAAGGTATTTGCGATGTATAATGATAGACAACAATGGTACCTCGTTTAAAAATCTATTGCTACTGTATATAGAAACACATAAAATATAAATATAGTAAAACTAAATTAATTATTTACATAAAATAGTTAGTGCAAAGGCGGCCTCATCGCCTTTAGCGATTTCTTCCAGGCAACCTTTGTATAAAGAAAAGGAAAACAATAAATGAATAAAAGCCAACGAGAATGAGTGAGAAAATGCAATAAGTTGTAAATTACAATTATATCAGATACTATACGGTTGAATTTTTATTCAATTTAAAATCGATTTTAATCTATATAACGCTACTATGCGCTATAAAAAAAACTAAAAAATATTAAAGTTTTAATCTAATTCAGTTATTTTTATGACTTTGTACTGTTTTAAAAAATTAAGTATGCTACTTACTACTTACGCTGTACTATTTATAACTCAAGTATATAAAACAAATGAAGATCAATGTTAGTAACTACAAATATATCTACTTAAACTCCCGTCTCTCTTTCGATGCTTGCCAAATGAAACACCCTGTAAGTCTAAAAGTAATCTATAATCTCATATTTTGCCGGCGCATTGACCGCTTTTGTCGTCGATAAACTATTGTTGCCGATTAGTCGCGGGTGACAGCCACACGGATAATCGACTAGTGTTATAATCGAGTTTATAATCGATTTGCCCTTTGTCGGCGTCTTTGTAGTCGACAGGTGGATTGT